AGGCAGCGCCGACAGGCATCATCCCGATGGCATGCTGCCACGCGCCTGAGCCTCGCTCGCTGGAGACTCACAGCGACCTCGGCCGGGGAAGCAGCTTGGGAGAGAAAAACCGAAAGACCGATTGACTGCACATGAAGATGCTTTCGTGAGGAACTGTAACAGGAGCCTCGGATCAGGAGCACTGCCCCGAAGGAAGAACTTGTTTCCATGCTTGTGATGTGTTTCTGGTGCTTGGTTCGTCTCTTGCTATTTACAAAGCAGGAGATCGACGTGCCAAGATACCCAGGCCCGACGTGGCCTCTGAGGTTCAGAGAGGGGCCTGTCGTTGCTCTCGCGCGCGCCTGGACCTCCCCGAGCGCTGGCCCGATCTAATAAACAAAGGCATCAAATTACCCTGGCGACGTACCCAACCCCTGCGCAATGCGGGGCATGAGTAGCTTGGGAGACGTTATACGGAAGTGATGACGTGACATGGGCCCATATAGTTCTGCGAGCGGCATTCGTGAGGCTCGCAGCTCTTCAAGGATTGCGAGGTCCCGCTTAGATCTGCGTGGTGCCTCACTCCGCTGGACCTGCCACCAGCCTTTGAAAGTAGCGACGGTTTCGCAGATCGCAGCCCCGCAGGGACGGCGAGGTCCCTCTCAGATCTGCGCGGTGCCTCACCCCGCTGGACCCACCAGCAGCCCTCGAAAGTGGCGACGGTTTCGCAGATCGCAGCCCCCCAGGGACGGCGAGGTCCCGCTCAGATTTGCGTGGTCTCACTCCGCTGGACGCCCTCGAAATTGGTGACAGCTTCGCAGATCGCAGTGCTGGCCCCCAAGCAGCCCTCGAAAGTGGCGACATTGTCGCAGATCGCAGCCCCCAGGGACGGCGAGGTCCCTCTCAGATTTGCGTGGTCTCACTCCGCTGGACGCCCTCGAAATTGGTGACAGTGTCGCAGATCGCAGATCGCAGATCGCAGATCGCAGATCTGGGCGGTGCCTCACTCCGCTGGACCCACCAGCAGCCCTCGTAAGTGGTGACAGTTTCGCAGATTGCTATGCGGGCCCCCCAAACAGTCCTCGAAAGTGGCGACAGTTTCGCAGATCGCAGCCCCCCAGGGACGGCGAGGTCCCGTTCAGATCTGCGCGGTGCCTCACTCCGATTGACCCACAAGCAGCCCTCGAAAGTGGCGACAATGTCGCAGATCGCAGCCCCCCAGGGACGGCGAGGTCCCGCTCAGGTCCGCGCGGTGCCTCAGTCCGCTGGACCCACCAGCAGCCCTCGACAGTGGCGACCGTGTCGCAGATCGCAGCCCCCCAGGGACGGCGAGGTCCCGCTCAGATCCGCGCGGTGCCCCAGATCGCCCCGCAGGACCCACCAGCAGTCCTCGAAAGTGGCGACGGTTTCGCAGATCGCAGCCCCCCAGGGGCGGCGAGGTCCCGCTCTGATCTGCACGGTGCCTCACTGCCTCACTCCGCTGGACCCACCAGCGGCCCTCGAAAGTGGCGACTGTTCCGCAGATCGCAGCCCCCCAGGGACGGCGAGGTCCCGCTCAGGTCCGCGCGGTGACTCACCCCGCTGAACCCACCAGCAGCCCTCGAAAGTGGCGACAATTTCGCAGATCGCAGCCCCCCAGGGACGGCGAGGTCCCGCTCAGGTCTGCGCGGTGCCTCAGATCACTCCGCTGGACCCACCAGCAGCCCTCGAGAGTGGCGACATTGTCGCAGATCGCAGCCCCCCAGGGACGGCGAGGTCCCGCTCAGCTCTGCGCGGTGCCTCAGTCCGCAGGACCCACCAGCAGCCCTCGAGAGTGGCGACAATTTCGCAGATCGCAGACCCCCAGGGACGGCGAGGTCCCGCTCAGATCTGCACGGTGCCTCACTCCGCTGGACCCACCAGCAGCCCTCGAAAGTGGCGACCGTGTCGCAGATCGCAGCCCCCCAGGGACGGCGAGGTACCGCTCAGGTCCGCGCAGTGCCTCACTCCGCTGGACCCACCAGCGGCCCTCGAAAGTGCCGATGGTTTCGCAGATCGCAGCCCCCCAGGGACGGCGAGGTCCCGCTCAGGTCCGCGCGGTGCCTCACTCCGCTGGACCCACCAGCAGCCCTCGAAAGTGGCGACAAGTTCGCAGATCACAGCCGCCCAGGGACGGCGAGGTCCCGCTCTGACCCGCGCGTTTCGTCACCCCGCTGGACCCACCAGCAGCCCTCGAAAGTGGCGACCGTGTCGCAGATCGCAGCCCCCCGGGGACGGCGAGGTCCCGCTCAGGTCCGCGCGGTGCCTCACTCCGCTGGACCCACCAGCAGCCCTCGAAAGTGGCGAGAGTTTCGCAGATCGCAGCCCCCCAGCGACGGCAAAGAGAGGGCAGGAGGCGAGAGGAGGCGGGAGGCGGGAGGAGGGGGAGAAAGAGGGACGCGACCACAGTGCTCTATTCAAAACGAATACCCAACCAAGGAGGGTTGGGAATTACATACGCTGGCGACGTACCCAACCCCTGCGCAATGCGGGGCATGAGTAGTTTGGGAGACGCTATACGGACGTGATGACGTGACATGGGCGCATATACTTCTGCGAGCGGCATTCGTGACCTCGCAGCCCAAGGATTACGATGTCCCGCTCAGATCTGCCTGGTGCCTCTCAATCCGCTGGACCCACCAGCAGCCCTCGAAAGTGGCGACGGTTTCGCAGACCACAGCCCCCCAGGAACGGCGAGGTCCCGCTCAAGTCCACGCGGCGCCTCACTCCGCAGGACCCACCAGCAGCCCTCGAAAGCGGGGACAGTGTCGCAGATCGCAGCCCCCCAGGGACGGCGAGGTCACGCTCAGATCCGCGCGGTGCCTCACTCCTCAGGACCCACCAGCAGCCCTCGAAAGTGGCGAAAAATTCGCAGATCGCAGCCCCCCAGGGACGGCGAGGTCCCGCTCTGACCCGCGCGGTGCGTCACTCCGCAGGACCCACCAGCAGCCCTCGAAAGTGGCGAGTGTTTCGCAGATCCCAGCCCCCCAAGGACGGCGAGGTCCCGCTCAGGTCCGCGCGGTGCCTCACTCCGCAGGACCCACCAGCAATCCTCGAAAGTGGCAACAATTTCGCAGATCGCAGCCCCCCAGGGACGGCGAGGTCCCGCTCAGATCTGCGCGGTGCCTCACTCCGCTGGACCCCCCAGCAGCCCTCGAAAGTGGCGACAATTTCGCAGATCGCAGCCCTCCAGGGACGGCGAGGTCCCGGCCAGGTCCGCGCGGTGCCTCAGTCCGCAGGACCCACCAGCAGCCCTCGAAAGTGGCGACCGTGTCGCAGATCGCAGCCCCCCAGGGACGGCGAGGTCCCGCTCAGGTCCGCGCGGTACCTCACTCCGCTGGACCCACCAGCAGCCATCGAAAGTGGCGACAGTTTCGCAGATCGCAGCCCCCCAGGGACGGCGAGGTCCCGCTCTGATCTGCGCGGTGCCTCACTCCGCTGGACCCACCAGCAGTCCTCGAAAGTGGCGACAGTTTCGCAGATCGCAGCCCCCAGGGACGGCGAAGTCCCGCTCAGGTCCGCGCGGTGCCTCAGTCCGCAGGACCCACCAGCAGCCCTCGAAAGTGGCGACAGTTTCGCAGATCGCAGCCCCCCAGGGACGGCGAGGTCCCGCTCAGGTCCGCGCGGTGACTCACCCCGCAGGACCCACCAGCAGCCCTCGAAAGTGGCGACAATTTCGCAGATCGCAGCCCCCCAGGGACGGCGAGGTCCGATCAGGTCCGCGCGGTGCCTCAGTCCGCAGGACCCACCAGCAGCCCTCGAAAGTGGAGACAGTTCGCAGATCGCAGCCCCCCAGGGACGGCGAGGTCCCGCTCAGGTCCGCGCGGTACCTCACTCCGCTGGACCCACCAGCAGCCATCGAAAGTGGCAACAGTTCCGCAGATCGCAGCCCCCCAGGGACGGCGAGGTCCCGCTCAGGTCCGCGCGGTGCCTCACTCCGCAGAACCCACCAGCAGTCCTCGGAAGTGGCGACCGTGTCGCAGATCGCAGCCCCCCAGGGACGGCGAGGTCCCGCACAGGTCCGCGCGGTGCCTCAGTCCGCAGGACCCACCAGCAGCCCTCGAAAGTGGCGACGGTTTCGCAGACCGCAGCCCCCCAGGGACGGCGAGGTCCCGCTCAAGTCCGCGCGGTGCCTCACTCCTCAGGACCCACCAGCAGCCCTCGAAAGTGGCGACGGTTTCGCAGATCGTAGCCCCCCAGACACGGCGAGGTCCCGCTCAAGTCCGCGCGGTGACTCGCTCCGCAAGACCCACCAGCAGCCCTCGAAAGTGGCGACAGTTTCGCAGATCGTAGCCCCCCAGGCACGGCGAGGTCCCGCTCAGGTCCGCGCGGTGACTCACTCCGCAAGACCCACCAGCAGCCCTCGAAAGTGGCGACAGTTTCGCAGATCGCAGCCCCCATCGTCGGCGAAGAGAGGGCAGGAGGAGGCGGGAGGCGGGAGGAGAAGGAGAGACGCCACCACACCCCTCTATTCAAAACGAATACCCAACCAAGGAGGGTTGGGAAAAAATGATCCTCGATCCTCCCCCCTCCTCCCCTCCTCCCCCTCCTCCCCCTCCTCCTCCTCCTCCTCATCCTCATCCTCCTCCTCCTCCTCCTCTTCCTCCTGCTCCTCCTCCTTCTCCTAGATCTACACAAATTCCAGGATTCCCCATATTTTCGATAGTTCTTAGATGTCCGGGTTCCCCTCCATTTCCTACATTTTCCCTTTTATCCTTGGGCATCAACGATTATTGTGTTTGTGTCTATGTCTCCCCCCTGACTTCCCTCGACCTTCGTGGCTCGGACGCGACGATGGAGCGGGTAGCCCAGGGGCTGCCCAGTAACAAATGTTGCCCAAAGCTGGCAGTGGCCGCTGTTGGCCAGGCGGCATTCTGTCTCCAATGGACAACGTTGCGGCGACAACGACAGCGAGACCTGCTCAGTATGAACAGAAACGGCTCTCGATCTTCGTTACCGGCTCTCTCCGCACCCATTCCATTCGTGCCGTTCCAAGACAAGAC